ATCTGTATGAGGTTTAAAACAGCTCGCTTTCAGCTCGCTGTTTTAAATCCTCATACAGATCGCCCGCTCATATTGTATATATTACTTAAAGATTCTTGTAAAAAAGTGGGGAAAATGTTAAATTCATGGTTACCTTWTCATATTGACTCATTGGCAGTTCATGTGTTATAAGTGGAGTCACATTAACCCTTAAAACAATATAAATGTCAGCTCATGCTAATCTATTACTGAAGACCACTACATATAGCTTTCTYCACATCCATCACTGTGATTCCCTCTATTCATGGGTTTCCTGTGTACACCTAATTGAAAAAAAMGTASTCGTGTTCGAAAAGGTCACATCATAGAAGCTAATACTGAAAGCGATTTTGATTACCACTAAATTTGGATTACATTTGCATATACGGTGTACCGTAAATCAAGTAGAGCTAGTAAGATTAACAGCATGCTAGTCATTTATGCTGGAGAGATTTTTGTTATGAAATTAGCCAAATTGTTTGTCTTCCCAAGTACCCTTTCAGTATTAGCTTCTATGATTTGACCTTTTTGGACCCGACAACGTTTCTTCAATTAGGTGTATATGATATAGAAGAAGGGTTGGATCAGAGAGGAACAGTCTCTTGCATACTCTCAGTCTCTGTCTCTTCAGTGGTCAGCACATTTGTAAAAATAGAATAAATAAGTTAACAACAGGAGGTACCATACTTGTTCTGATAAATGAGTTGCTCTGACTTTTCCCATGTGCTGAAGATCTTTCGACCGTGGACAGTCTTCAACGTGACAGACTTGAAGATGACATCAGACAACACGTTTTCAACATGGAGAGGTGCCTGTGTTTACAGGATTAAGTTTGGTTTGATATTTTTGATAATATATGCTACTTGCATGTATGAGGGAAGTTGATGAACTTCGAGAGTATTGAATGTGTATGTGTATTGATTTGTTGGAAGAAATGACTGTATTGAAATGACCTCATTCAAGCAATTGTATCAAAATCATTATAATTTGGAAAAAAATCTCACCTTTGGTAACCCAACAAGAACAATTCTCCCTCCTTTTCTGAATAGCAAGAATGATTCTTTAATCAGATACTATCTCATTAAGATATTATTATTATTATTATTATTTGTACCTTAGAAAAGAAAAGCTACTGTTCACCATATTAGGTGAACCAGAACATTCCACCAATCTTCCAGCACCATCTCCTGATGTTTCCCTAAGAACTAGAATACAAAACATTGTCATTAATAATGTGTCATTCTATAAAATAACATCTGCTCCAATGAAGGTTACCCCYATTCTCAGCAACCTAAATAAAGCTAGAATCTGTCATGTCACCTATTTCTTTGAGATTTTCCTCCAAATTGTTCACTAACACATCAGCACCCATTTGCTTTGCCTTTTCAAGTCTGTCAGGATTGATATCTGTAGCAATKCTATCAGAGAAAAGATGCAACTCAAAATTAACATCAAGTGCATTCAATAAGTTAGAGCTTGAAACAACTACATTTTTTCTGCACCCATTGCTTTAGCAATCCCCACTGCAAGGAGACCAACAGGTCCACAGCCTAAAGACAAAACCAAGTTTGATATTTTTAAATCATTGTCTATGGAATGGAAGAGCTTCAAGCATTCAAGTCACCAACCTATAACAAGAACTGTCTCCTTGGATGGTTTTAATGCTTCCATCGCTTGATGCGCAACTCCAAATGCTAAAAGACACAATATGTTAATAAATCAACATGCAATCTCAACTATTCTCAACTATGCAACAATTTAAGGACATTTTGCCATGATTGTGCATTGATTCATCACCCCTACTCCATCAATCTAAGGAAATCAACCCCAATTTGTCCCTTTAGGTRTGTGGGGTATGAACACAGGCTATAAGTTGTACTCACGCTCTAATAGACAAGCTTTTCTTGGTTCAAGGTTTGTTTTTAGTCGGTAGGCATACCGAGCGGGAATTATGGTAAACTGTGAACAGCCTCCGTAAATTGTTCCTCTTCCATGTCCAAACTGATTTAAGTTTTGACAGATATGCCTTTGATCTGGAATGATTACAAAGAAAAGAATGAATGAAGCAAAAAAATAATAAAAGGGATGGTTGAAGGCACAATGGGAATGGATGAATGAAATCATGAACAAGTGGATGAACAGAAAATAAATGAACTACTTAACAAGTGGATGAGTGAACAAATAGATAATAATAATAACTTTAATCCTTTCTATACCAATTGATACATAGGATACAAAATATCAATAAACAATTAAGAATATTACAAACAATAATTAACTAAATAATAAAACTATCAATAATGATATAGATGAAGTAAAAAAGGAATGAAAGAAAGAATATAAAGTTCTCATACCATGCAGACACTGGTAGCACTCTCCACAGTAAAAGTGATTTTCACAGCACACATGATTACCAACTTGGAATTCATCACCACACCCTGGCCCAACATTAACTACCTGTAGAGAAAACAAGTGAAGACTTAATCCAGCCTCTGGCCAGGAATAGAATAAAATGTATATAAAAATCAAATTTTGTGACACAGGACTGCATTCTCACCTCACCAACACACTCATGTCCTGGCATAAATGGCAATGTAGCTATATTCTTTGCCACTACAACAAAACATCAGTGTGAATATTGATACTTTAATTAAATGATTCCATGATGAAATGATTGAATTAAATCACGATGAATTCACTGAATAATTGAATGATTTCATGATGAAATGATTAATTGATTGAATGAATGATCAATTGATCGAATGATGCATGCTTTGGATTGTTTAGTTGATAATTTGAAGATTGATGGACTGACTGATTATTTTGGATGACTACATTTTTCAGTACGTAATTACGAGAATTGCAATAAGTGTATTTTATAACAGCTAAAATCACAATTTTTATTTTATTTTATTTTATTTATTTTTTGTCAGATACCTTCGTTCCAGTTATAGAGTGCTATATCTGAGCCACATATTGAAGATACCAGTACTTTAACAAGTAATTCTCCATCTTGTGGTTCGGGTATTGGCCATTCTTTATAATTATAGCCAACTTTTTCTTCTTCCTTGATGAGTACCTTCATTGTCGGATACGCCATCTTTGAACACAGGTAACCCAAGATTCTAGGGATATTAAATTTACCGATGAAAACTTTCCCAATGATATAAGACAAATTTTACACCGTAAAATAAGAAATAGGTATAGCGTAAAATAGCGTAGCTCCAGCAATAGCAATATAATCTTCTAAAAATGTGGTAAAAAAAAAAAATTGCACACGGTTTTTCGTTGTATGTCCCGTCAAATATTGACACACTCTTGACGTCGTCATAAAATGTTCAAAACAGGATTGATATTTGAACCGGAACTATTCAAACTTCACATCAGAGCACACTGTAAAAGAATATATTAATACTGATATATATGTATTTCATTGATTCTTGAAGATAAACGTGCTTACGCGCGAGAACCCTGTGTCTTAGCTATGATGATCCGGTAAGAAGGCGAGAAATGACTGACGTTCAGACGTCGATCCTTCATCGGGTCACAAGAATAAAACTGGACTAARTGACAGTATAGTGAAGAGAGAGAGAGAAAAGATTATTTAAAATCCTGCACAAAAATATATGTGCATTAATTTACGACATCGTACAATTAAAAAACCCTGAAATTACAGAGAGTGAAACTACTGCCTAAATAATACAAATGTCTCGAGTCCTTTAGTTACGTTTTTATATCACAAGTCTTTTCATAGAACTAGTCCGACTAAGTAGGGGCCGGGTTTTGCCAGTGCTTTGCAAAGATCAAAGATTGATATATGAAAAAATGGACTAGGAGTGTGTTTTTTTTTTTTTTTTTTTCGCGGATGGCTAATAATTAACGTTTCATGTTTTCAGATATTTTCCGTCACAGCGGCCAACTTGGAGGAACTTCAACAAAGGATTATCTCATTAGTATCTATTGTTCATCCTCCAATATGGCCGCCAGTTTTTTATCTTTTGAAACTCCTAAAAATGGTTGAAAACGACCGATTCACTAGTTTTCTTTGTTTGTCAAAGGGTTGTGTGCRTAACACTCAATCACTGAAGAAGGACGAAGTGCCGAAACGTCCAAAATAAAACAGAGACATTACAACTTCAAGGTGGTGTTTTGTGTTCCTAAGCTTGCTTCTCTCGTGTTTTTCGAACTCCCACCGTGTTTATATCAGAGGACAGAGAAACGCGCGCCCTTTTTATATTTCTTAAATATATATTATATACGGGCTGTAGCGTAGAGCGCGGTAACTAACTCTAACTATTTAATGTTGTTGTTTTTTCGTGAGAGAGAGATAATAAGAAACGTGTGAAAGATTCGTCTAGGAGTATGAAATACAGTTTTCTCAGGCAAAAGTCATTTTTATCTTGGTGTTTATTTGGTTTTGCGCGATKTTAAAATTCAAATTTAAGTCATTAAACTTGAAAAAAGAAAATAAGTTTCCATGCTGAGGCACCTGTTTCCAATTACATTCACAAACCAAAATGTTAGAATTCAAAAAATACTAATTTCAYGTATAGATAGATAGATAAACTTTATTGGCATGACTTGTTCTATTTACAAGTATTGCTAAAGTTTTAATATATAGAAAAGCTGTGAAAATAGAGGATATTAGTGTTACATGGGCGAGCGGAGATACGGCGGATTTCATCTTCGAGTATTGATGAAAAGATCTCTCAMGAGTAAACGTGGTGAAAATAACAACTTTACGTAATGGAGAAATATAGGTATCTTCTGGATAATTATGTGATAATAAGATATATTTTAAGATATATTCATTCTCTGTAACCAAGACAGTTTTTGTTGATTGGTCCGTCACATGATTGAAAAATTGGATCAAAGATTAAGAAAACGAAAAACACTTTTCTTGAATAGATGTCTAGTGTCGAAAGAATGGACATGTCGCACTCAAGAAAACCGAGCTTAAGGAGTTATCTTCAAGATTTCTCCGGTTACACTACTTTGCATGGACTCTCTTTTGTCTTCGGATCTGGTGGAATAATCCGTCGAGTTGTTTGGATGCTTTTGGTACTAGGTGGTGTAGGTATTTGTACAAAGCAATTGATAGTTAGTTTTCAGAAGTTACAAGATCATGAACATGTCATTAGCAAGGACATTATTCCTGAAAGCAAGCTGACTTTTCCCGCCGTCACCATATGTAACATAAATATGATGAAGAAGTCTCGCATAAACGGTACAGAAGCGCAGGTCTTCATTGACAAGCTGAACCCGTTCAAGACTTCCAAAGAGCTTTCCAAAAGACAATTGAACGATAGTTTTGATATTTCAAAAGCTGTCAAAGAGCACGGATACAAAGTTAAAGATTTGGTGAAAGTCTGTGTTTGGGACGGGAAGGATGGAAACTCATGCAACCCCCTTAATAACTTTACCACTAGATTTTCGTATCTTGTAAGTATGATAAAATGTAATACAGTCGAAAGAACTTAATATGTAGATTGAATGCGATTAGATCCCATAATTTCAGATATATTTCATATATACTTGAATATAAGCAAAAAAGGTCATAATGTTTATATATTGATGTACTATATATTGGTGTTGCTAACTTGGCTCGATAGTAGTTCGCTTGTTTATTAAAAGTTTGAAAGTTTTTATTTTTGACTCTATGTTGATAATACTTCTTCATCTTCTTTRACATTGGATGTCTGACAGGCGAGTAGTATTATTATTGGGCATTCTAAACAAAAAAGCATCGATTATGTTTGTCATTTTTCATCAACAGTCTGCGTGGTACCGTGTGCTCCCCCATTATATTTATTTATTTTTCGTCATTTATCTCACTGTAATGCATAGCCTGCGTTATAAGTTGTTAACAACATTCGCATTTCAGTGGCTGATCCAGGATTTCTCAAAGGGGGGTTCCACTTTGTTATTTCGCATTTTCCTAAAACGAACGTTTTACTGTGCCTCTCGAACTGTAGCAAATGTAGCATGAATGCATTTCATAAAAATTCATTGTACGATGTGTTTTCATTTTATTTCATTTATCTTTTTTTTATACTTGAGGGGGGTTCCTAGGAACCCATGGAACCCCCCCCCCCCCCCCCAGGATCCGCAAATGCATTTGTGTTGTACGGGCCATTATAATCTTAAGCCGCCCTATTATAACATTATTTGTGTTCATGTTGTATACTACGTCGTACAAACGCTGGCATTTTTTCTCCGGCAGCATGACCTGCGACATCCCAGTGCCATAATGATTTTTTCTAATTATTGCATGCTAAAAGGTAATTGTTCTTTTTTATTTTATAGTACGGGCAATGTCATACATTCAATTCTGGGCAACACGGACACCCTCTTCTGTCATCCACTTCTAGCGAACTAGTGAATGGGCTTATACTACTATTAGAGGTCAGGAAAGACGAGTATTATGGGTTATCAAGCTATTTTAATGCAGGTGCTAGAGTAGTGGTCCACGATCAAATCGAACAGCCAAACATAGAGCGTGATGGAATTGATATTAAGACACGTTCAATGACAACCATCAAAATACAGCGTCATGAGGTAAATGTCTGTAGACAGGGCGATTATTTTTTAAACCTTTGAACTCAATGCCAAAAAAACTCGGAAAGGTTAAAAAACTCTTTATTTTCGTCAACTTCCTAGCCTGCATGCAGTCGAATGGAACCAAAACTCCATTCGCAGGCTATCAACTTCCAAGACCTGTTTCACTTTGACATTTTTTTTGAMTTTTTTGTCAAATATATTGTTGTTTAGCCAAAATATGGTATAGGTCATTGCAAATTTCTACCAGAATCTTCTTAAAAGGTGCAAGGCATTCAATGGACTTAAAAAAAAAATAGGAGGAAGTAGAATCACAGTTACTAGATATTATGGTATAGTAAAATCTAGTAAGAGATGTACTGAAACTGAAACTGTTKTATTGCTCTTTTTTGCTTTTAACTTGACAGAAAAAAAGGTGCTTGTAATAAAGAGATAAATAGGTATAGAGAATATGCAAATTTATGTAAAAGAACGAGAGCCAGAGGGCTAAATTAACTAATAAGTTTTCTAGTTAGCCCCCTGTTATTTAGTGTTACATTGGTTGTTACAGGCAAGGTTGATGTTGCGGTTTAGTTTTGTCATCACCCTCCAGCTTTCAACTGAGTCGGCAATAGTGACGAATTSTAGTTGTTTACTTTCAGTATAACCGCCTCAAACCTCCCTATAAATCAAAATGTGGCAGCAAAAAACTAGAGACGTCCAAGGTATACAGTCTAAGTACCTGTCTACTTGAATGCAGCACACGAAAAGTCGTCAAAAAATGCGGCTGCAAACTGTTTGGAATGGCGAACCTTACAGGTGAGACGATTCAAGTGATGCTCAACATTCAGTGGAACCATAAGTGTACTGATCATTCTCACCCATTCACATAGTGAGATTCAAAAGATAAAAGACCGGCGGCCATGTTGGAGGATGAATAATAGATACTAATGAGAAATTCTTTCTTCAAGTTCCTCCAATATGGCCGCTGTTACGTAACGTAGAAACGAATACTGTGTCAAGCATGCATGAAATCACCAGTTTGCTTTTCCAACCAATATGCTTGATTTCCAAAGAGGGYGAGTTTATCACGTTGACAAATGTTTTATGATTTTTAAAACAGAATTCAGCCAAATAAAATACTGCAACCCAGACGAAATGATTTCATGTGGAGTATACACCATGACCAAGAAAAAATACCTGAGGACCCTGAGCAGCATTTTGTCAACATTGACGTTTGGTGAGTGATAAGGCGGTCTTTGCTATTCTTTAAGTGAGATGCGGGCAAACATTTCTTCGAATTCACCGCACTTGAATCAGTAAAATGAGGAGGAAGATTGGTCGAAAAGATTACTATAATATTTCTACTACTAATATTTCTCTTCTACTAATTCTGAGGTTAGGGATTCCGGACAGAAAATAAGGTTTCTTTCATTTGCATTTTTTCTGAGCTGGCATCGCTTGAGTAAAGGTTTAAGAAATAATTGATGAATTTTGGTCAATATAATCTATCGTATTCTACAGGTTACCGCCTGCCCAACAATCCTCAAGAATGTGGCTGCCCTCGGCCATGTAAAGAGATCAAATACTCAACGCGAGTAAACGACGCCAACTTCCTTACCAGTGACGTGTTTCTCGATGACGTAGCAGATTCTATAAGTGCCATAACTAAATATGTTTCTAGAGTCTATTTAAAATTTCTTTTGGACAAGAAAAGGTTAAGCAATAGCCGACTTGCGAATTTCGTCTCAGTTGTCAAACACAAAAGAATCAAGATACACTGGAAGAAATCGCGCGCTTTTTAAAGGTTGTAAATTTGATGTAAATATGATGTAAGTGACCAAAATTCTGTAAATTTAATGGAAATCATTTACATCAAATTTACAACCTTTAAAGCGCGCGATTTTTTCCAGTGATAATATACAGCGAAAAACTATTGTCTTTTTTACGAATGTCTGAGCTTTATGCACCAAGCCTCGTCTTGATTCCTTTGTGTGTGACTACTGAGGCACAATTCGAAAGTCGGCAATAGTCTATGAGACTTTATGAGACTATAATCATGTGAGATGAACCATGCAATACTAGTGTGACTATCACTACTTATCAGTGCCCCGGGGGTACTCCCTAATATCAAAGGGCGGTGGTCCTTGACGTCCCCTTTAGGGTTTGAAATCGGTATTTTGGTCCCGCTTAGGGTGATAATGACGAGAATTCCCACCAACTGARGTTTCTGATCCCTTTTAGGGTATAGGACGACCCTAAGCCGTCATAAAATGGCAACGTTGTCATTAAATCAATACGAGCCGACGGTATTCGATGATTGTGTAAAAACACAAATAAAATCGGGAAACCAAAACAAAATGATCACGCCCATCATCTCACATTATACAACTTTTCAGTAAAATCAGACGTTTTGATTGGTTGGCTTTCATGTGTTATCAAAGTTTATACAACTTTTCAGTAAAATCAGACGTTTTGATTGGTTGGCTTTCGTGTGTTATCAAAGTATAGATACACGGAGTACGTCAAAACTAATTGTTTGTTGTATAAAACAGATAGATCTCATTTTTCCGTGCGTGTGTACTCTAATAGATACACAGATGACGTCAAAATGTAGTGAGAACAACAGTCACGCACTCGACTGCCTCTCGTGCGTACTTTTTTGTTCTCACTACATTTTGACGTCATCTGTGTGTCTATTAGAGTACACACGCACGGAAAAATGAGATCTATTTGTTAAATAGAGGTCCCTTTTAGGGGTCATTTTCAGAATTTCCGACGTGGACCCCCGCCCTTTGATATTAGGGATCCCCCCTGGGTATCAGTGTCATGGCCGGATTCTTCTTACCAGTAACGTGTTTCTCGACGATAAAACATAAAACGCACGACCTTGAGTACAGTTTGGAATTAATAGTCACGAGTAATGTTCTTGAAGTTCTTCGTAATCACGAGCCCGCGATATCTAGATTGTTAAATCTTGTGGGACGTTTTATCGGAGTTGTTTTTTTCAGGGATACCGTGATTCACTTAAGCGTTCATTATGAGGACCTGAATAGATACATTACAACCGAAAGACCATCTTATGATATCAACCTGTTTGGTGGTAAGTGAGCTTAAGTGGTGCTAGTCTAATTGCATTACGCAGGTCTCTGTCCAACATAGATAATGATATAGTGTGTTATAAGGAAAACACAGTAAGACAAGCTTGTAATCTGGTAACATATGCATGCCTTGGTTATGCGACAATGATCATCAATACATCATTACTTGAGAAAAGAAACTTAAAAACAGCTTGCCGTTTTAGGGACTGCGCAATAATTATCAGGAGAAATGAGTGAAAAGAGCAGAAAAGTTATTAATGTCCCCCCTAACACTTGCAAAAGCCATGCCCCCCTCCSATCATAACTGGAAAATTAGACTTCTCCCCATTTCCAAATTTTGTGTTACTAATAATGACAAATCAAATTAATAATAATTATAACTATTATATGTCTTTTTTCCCAGCGGATGTTGGCGGTTACATTGGTTTGTTCTTGGGATGCAGTGTTATTACCATTTTTGAGTTCATCGATCTTATCATTGTTTGTTGTCTTGGAAGATGTCTACAGGCCAAAACGAAGGAACGCAATACAAATGATGATGAAGAACAACATGATGAAACTCATTTAAATGAGATGTAATTAGTTATATGTAACCATATCTAGATATTCATTGAAAAAATCATTAACTTAAATGATCAAAATTATTCATGAGCTTAATTGACTGATTGACAATTTGATTGAATGATGAACTGACTGATTATTTAAAACTAAGTTAACTTTATAATAACCACATTTCTTAGTACGTAATTTCGAGAATGTGCAACATTAAAGCTTAATACAGCTAAACAGCTAAACAGGATAATTTTCACCGTTTCAGTTTGTCAGATACCTTCGTTCCAGTTATAGAGTGTTATATTCTCAGCCACATATTGAAGATACCAGCAATTAACAAGTAATTCTCCCTCTCGTCGTTCGGGTATCGGTCATTCTTTATAATCATAGTCAACTTTTTCTTCTTCCTTGCACCTTCATCATTTAGACGCCATCTTGGAACACAGGTAACCCAAGATTCTAGGGCTACTTTCAACCCACAGGAAATCCAATATCTGGGATGTGTTTCGAGCTTTTACACGCCCCTTAGAAGATATGACTTGACATGATTGTGACAGAATTGCACCATATCAAGTTGAGTTTTATAATGAAAAATGAAACTCTTGGTATGAAAATTTCTGATAATTTGACGAAGGGCCGGTTCACATTGTGACATAAGCAGAAACCGAAGCTTGTTAACACTTGACAGAAGCTTGTTCTTCTGCTTATGATGTCCCGGCTCACACTCAAAATCTTTCAACATAAGAAGAAACAGAAGTAGAAGAAAATGAAAAACGTTTTCATTTCATCTGCTTCAGTCTCTGCTTCTGCCTCCCGGTTCACACATACAAAATACACTTCTTCTGTTTCTGCTTATGTCACAGTGTGCATGAACCGGCCCTAAGTCATTTCACCATAACACAACGTCGGTGCGTCAAAGCCATTGAATCGCCTTAAATAATAAGTATTCCTCTCTGTTCTTAAATAGACATATATATTCAGTGGAGGCGCGGGCGGGCGGGCGAACACACATCCACTTAAAAAAAAAAGTTGCGTCGCCCTTAACATGTTATAAAATACAGCTTTTTTCCGTTAAATGTTTTCATATCTATTTGTTTTTAACAGCTAGGTTGTCAGGGCAACTAGTGACTGCTTACGTGTTCACCATCAATTGCTGGCAGCAGTCAAACAAAATACAAGACAAAATAGACCCCTTACAAGGAATACAAGTCCAACTGCAGAACATACATAAATATTAATAAAAACTGAGATAGAAAAATATGAGTCTTTTGCCAGCTCAAGTTTTTTTTCTTTTCGTTTTTGAACCGAGTTCCGATAATTATGGTGTCAAATCAGTAAAGTATCACTTCAAAAATATTCGCTAAGCAATTGATATGTTGAAAGACGAATTCTCCTAATTTAAGAGAAAAGATTAACTTTTTTAATTATATTTGTTCAAGACATCTTGAGGTTCTGTAGAAAAAACGGTCTCCTCGATGGCTTACTGTACACAAATATGAAAACATGAAGAGCATCGTATCATTAATTTTCACCCCCAAGTACGTCTGAATGAGATATTAGTATAGGTTTTTCAATAGATCACGTTTTAGAAAGTGTTTCAATTGGTTCCAATTGATTTAGCTATTTAACGTGAGATATAACCGATATAATCCCATGTTTAGGATGTCGAGATATTTTGTGCTTTACTCTCCTGCGGTGTTCATGACAGGCTGGTACTTGTGCATTTGCTAATGTCACCATCAAAGCAGTCAACATACTTGTACATAATATGTATAATGAAGGTTTTGTGGTCAACAAATGAGTAAATATACCTAGCAAATTAAAAGTAATATTCGCCGTTTTCTTCGCTTATAACCTTACCTCTTTATTTCCGTCATAAGCTAAAGGCTGCTTTAGAATGGGTCAAGTTCAAATTCATGCAATCATTCAATTATTGTTTAATGATCTAGTTTTGATACTTGTTTTTTTGGGACTGACTTGAATGTTTTGTGAAGTAGAGGGGGTATTGTGTTTGCGGTAGATATCGTTGCGGTTTCTATTAAAACTGGATCAAGTTAAAAGTGCTCTGGTGGTTATCATAGACATCCCTGTTAAGTCTTCTAGTCTCATTGCATCGCACATGCGCAATGAGATCCATTTTTTTTTACAACGCATTTCAAGTTTTACTATCATGATCTGTATTGGACCTTCCTTGTAAAGTGGTGACTAGAATAATACGTTCAATTCGCCATAGTCCTTTTGCACGGTGTGATTCATGATAAAAATGTTTTGAGAATGCTGGCAAAATGTCAAAGCGATATTCGTCTGAAGACTTTTTGCATCTGCAGTCCCTCGGAAAGATTTTTAGTTTGTGAAATGTTGAGATTCCTGGGAAAACTGAATTCTTATAGCCTTTTCCCCTGGAAAAATCTTTAAATCTTATAAGATTCCTGACAACAAGTATCTATCTGCAGTCTAAGACATTTCTTCCAGGAACTCGTTRGCTCGTAAAAAGGAACTTTTATTTTCGTGTGTATTTAATAATTTTGCTGTACTCTTCAGGAAAATACGACTGTAAATATTTTATATCTGTATTACACATTTTGTTGACGATTTCGGAGCATTGACATGACATGTCACTAACAAAAGTTAAATATGTCATGGTTGCTGGGCTACCGAGGAGCACTAGTGGCACGTCAAACAAAGCTGGTCGAGTTAACCAGTGCCGAGCCCCACAATTACTCGTCAGTAACTACAACGAGAGTCAGCAAGCAGGGAACCAAAACTGCTTTTAATCGAAAAGAACTAAAAAATATGTACAAAGTACCAAAATTGATTTTTTAAATTAATTACATCTAACCCATGGTGTGATTCAAAAAATTAGATACTTTTGAGGCGGTTGGACCTGCCGAGCCACAGGAATGCCATAAAGCGAGAGCGCAGTCGAGATTGGTCCGTAATATAACAAAACATYTMAATAGGAAGATTGGACTCTGCAAGAGTCACTGGAGGGAGCGTTTCATAATTATATTTTGATCAAGGATAATGAAAATACACAACACTTTTATGGAATAGAATCAGCTTGGAGTATTTATTGCACATTTSAGCAATATGTCTAGTGCGGAGAGGGAGGACTCAAGAAAACCAAGCTCAAAGAGTTATCTTCAAGATTTCTCTGGGTACTCAACCTTGCATGGATCATACTTTGTCCTSGGATCTGGTGGAATAATTCGTCGAGTTGTTTGGATGGTTTTAGTGTTAGCTGGCGTAGGTATTTGTACAAGTCAGTTGGTTGTGAGCTTTCGGCGGCTAAGAGCTTATGAACATATCGTTAGCAAGGACATTATTCCTGAAAGCAAGCTGACTTTTCCCGCCGTCACCATATGTAACATAAATATGATGAAGAGGTCTCGCATAAACGGTACAGAAGCGCAGGTCTTCATTGATAAGCTGAACCCGCTCAAAACTTCCAAAGAGCTTTCCAAAAAACAATTGAAAGATAGTTTTGATATTTCAAAAGCTGTCAAAGAGCACGGATACAAAGTTAAAGATTTGGTGAGAGTCTGTGTTTGGGACGGGCAGGATGGAAACTCATGCAGCCCCATTCATGACTTTACCACTAGATTTTCGTATCTTGTAAGTATAATGATAAAATTTAATACAGTCGAAATAACTTAATATATGGAGATTGATAAGATCAGACGCTGGAAACATTGACGGACATTGACGAAACGACTTCAAAATTGTATTGACGCAGTTTTTTTTTAATTTAAAAAACTTTAAAACACCATCAAACAGCGATTGATTTTTGTCCCAAATTCGCAGAATGAAGCTTTATTCTGCTTATTAATACGATGAGTAAAATGTTGGATTATATCACAGCAGACATAGATGGCTTAATTGTGTACAATCACTTGTCTCGCCTATGAGTTAAACGAAAGTTATGTATATTGATCTGAAACGCAGTCAAAACGGTTTCAATCGGCTAGTTTCCATTTTAGACTGTTTTTGTGAGGCAGATCAAAAATTCATGAATGCTCATGACCTTYATGATTATTCTATCAGAATTTTGTGGCGGCTAATTGCCAATGGGGCTACTGGCTTAAAAATGACTCTAACTTTTTTTTGTTTTGTTTTTGTGCCCGATGTTATGCCTCACCGAAGTACCTGTAATCTTACTAGGTCTCTATAGCAGGTTCATGTTTTGTAACCGCCTCAAGGCAATAAACATTCCTTGTTTATATTGATAAAAAATGATTACAATCACTAAAATGCTAAATTGATCGAACTTCATGAGAAGGATTATAAAAAAACGTTATAAGACGCAAAAATTCGCCAAGAAAAGAAAAAAGGACTCAAGAATCATAATCAGTCAGTTTTATTTTGTTTTGTTTTATTTTATTTTAGGACGAAAGACAACCCGACTAAGTAACACTAAGACTGAAACCCAGGAAATCATGGGGTTGATAACTAAGAACACTTTGACTAATATTCTTAAGAAGGGATGGCCGGAGAGCTATATCTCTTGATTTACTAAATAAATAAATAATAAATAAATATTTTGCACTCTATATACTGCAATACATGATAATTGGATAAAAACCTTGAGGAGGAATTTATATTTCATATCAATGTGCGTAGTCTTCAATAGCAGGCTAGGAGGTTTCGAGTTGGCGAAGGCCATGTAAGTTGACAGGAAGGAAGGAACTAATGCTCATTAATATCTCTAATAACGGCATGAAGGATAGATGTATCTGATTTCCCGCCAAGAGGTTAAAACTGAATACAACTACAGATAGTATTATGGATGTGCGCCACGCGACTAGACATTGTCCAAAGACTTGGACTCTTCGTCTTCCATGCAAGAAAATTCCGACGGACGTAGTAGACGATCATCAAAAGGAATGATTCTCAGCTCAAATAAGTCAGTTCGGCTTGGTCAATATAGAGAACTTTTTGATCTTTCTTTGGCTTCAGAGCTCGATGGCAATAGTGCGCGTATAACAAATTATCGAGAGACCGAGAAAGGAATGTAGAAAAAAGACGCTATTCCTAAGTGGTCGTAGTTATTTTTACCACACACTAGTGTGAATTTTTGAGCGCGCTGATTGGCTGATTAGACTATGTTAATAACAGGACAAGACGCACTGCGCTGACACCTCGTGCGTGCTACCAGTTGAACTATCTCTATTTTACGATGGTCTCGCCAAATGATAGGAATTACATTTTGAGTCGAAAGAAGGCAATTCATTACAGACAATT